ATATATTGTTTAAATTTTGATAAAATATTATTGCAAAAAACCAATTTACCACTATATTTTGACTTTGAAAAAAAATTTAGAAAAATATGTTATTTTAATAATATTTTAACTAAATTTATCTTTGTCAAAATCAAAAATTTCGACCCGTGGGCCATCCATTACTTGCAATACATGCCTCAATTCTACAAGGCATGCTTTCAATTAATTTCATGTACACATCTTCTGGAATTTCATCCCATTCTTCAATTAAAGTTGCATATTATGGAATTTCATTATGCAAAGTTACATGAAATCATGCAATTTTGTAGATAGGAACTTGGTTTTTTCAAAAATGTAAAATTTTTCCCTTTCTTATATTAAAATAAATAGTTTACTCTTGGGCAGCTGTGGATTCCATGCATGGAATACACACGGTTTTTACGGAAAACATACGGAACCTGTTTTTCTCGTACGTTTCCTGTATGAATTACGTGATGTGAGGATGTGAAATTTGTGCGGAAAACATATGGAAAAAACGAATTCCATATGTTTTCCGTAAAAACCATGTGTATTCTGTGTGTGTTTCATACGTATTCTGCACCTACTCTGTATCTATCTTGCACAAATTCCATACATTTTGGTGCATTTAACAGGAAGATTTCGTACATTTTTCCATACCTATTCCATAAAACAATATGGTTCATGTACTGTTTTACTGTACAAATTCCATACATTTTCCATATATTTTCCATACCAAATTTTTTATAGGGCAGAAATTCAAATTATGAGTCCCAGGACTGATTTGTGTGATACTTGTCAACACTTTAGAGGTGGTTTACATTATAATGCTTGCCAAGAAGAAGAAGCCAAAGAATTACTTAAAAGATTTAAAGAACATTTGTCCAAGGCCAAATCAGAAAGAAATTATTATAATAAAAACACTAAATTACCAGAAGAACAAAGAAAATTAGTTGATCAACATGATTCAAAGAGTGAAACACAATATTGTAGCATTGATGCTACTGCTCATTATAGTTATGATTGAGCCCAAAATGTTCATGTACCACATTTAGATCAACAAGTAAGTAAAATCTATTATCTTAGTCCATGTAAAGTTCATTTATTTGGCATTCAAGATGAAGCAGTAAGGGAACAAATCAATTATGTTCTTAATGAAGATGAAAAGGTCCTAATGGCACTCTTAGCATGATTTTTGATGGAATTAAAAAATTAAATAAAGGTGAAAGCATTTAAATTACTTGTGATAATGCTGGAGGACAAAATAAAAATAATACTACTATTCAATTTTATTTATATTTAGTAATTTGTGGTTATTATAAAAGTATTGAATTAAATTTCATGATTCCTGGACATACCAAATTCAAATGTGATGGTAATTTTGGGATGATTAAAAAAAACTATAGAAGAACCAGAGTAGATTGTCTTGATCATGTGGTTGAGGTGATAAAAAAGTCTAGTCCAGCAGGATTGAATAAAGCTCAATGTTATGAAGATGGAAAAGGTTTTCAATACTTGGATATTAAAGCAATTTTGGGGATTTATTTTAAGAAATTACCAAGCATTCAGAAATATCAACATTTTCTTTTTGAAGCAACTAATCTTGGTGTGGTCAAAGTTCAAGAAGTTGCTAATGGACCTTTTGTTGAATTCAATTTATTGAAAACCAAGCAGATATTTTTGAAGAAATTAGAGTTTTATCTATTTTAGTGTTAACAACACCTCCTTTGGATTACAAAAGACAAGAATACCTTTATAATAATATTTGTTTATTTGTGAAAGATGAATACAAAGATATTACTTGTCCAAGACCATTCTATACTGACAACAAATAAAATATTTAGAACAAAAACATCTTCATTACTTTATCACACTTGTTAATTTGTCCCATTATTGTCATTAAGTTTAATAAGTTTAATCTTTTGACAAATATTGTTAGTTTTAAAGTAAAAAAGTACTAAAATAATTTATATACTTAATATGCCCTCATAAAAAGGATATAAGTATATTAGTATATTAAAAGAGCATATAAATAAAATCATGGTAAACACAATAAATGAATTCCAAGAGAGAAATAAACAACTATTAGAAGAAAATGAAAATTTAAAGAGGCAATTAGCAGATAAAGAACAAGAAACACAATTTAAACAGTTGAACAATGATGAAATTAGAGAATGAATAGCTACTATGTTAAGTAAGAGACATTATACTGATAATCCTGATGTAGATGTAGTTAATGAAATTATGAGAGCAGCTCATTGCAATCAAGAAGAATGAGAATGGTTCTGTAAGGTGTATCCTACTGAAGCAGCTCGTGGAAATGTAATTCTCACTGCTTATCAATATTTTCCTTATTGGAAACAATCAAGTATTCATTGACGGGTAAGAAATAAGGCAAAAAGAGATATCTTTATTAACCTTATCAAATTAAACTCTGAAGAAAGTAAAGAGTTATTTAGAAATTGAGTAAGAGAAGGCAAAATAGAAGATAATTTAACTTTAAAAGGAATTTTAGAAAAAGGATATGAAGGATGAGATTCAATCAAACAAAGTTGTTATGATTATTATGAGCTCAGAAATCTTTCTTTGGATGAGTTAATTAGCAGTTGGAATGAATTGACTGTGAATGCCAACAAGAAAGCTGCTAAGGTAAATGAATTGGAAGAAAAAGTTGAAGCATTGAAGGTAGAGTTGGAAAAAAGTGATGACAGAATAGAAGAATTGGAAGAGAGGGTAGATATTGAGGTTGAAATGAATTTAAAAGCATTAGACAAGTCAGCAGAATGGAGGGAAAAACAACTAAAAGAAGTAAAATCAGCCCATGTTTTGAGAGAAAAATGATTTTTGAA